AGCAGACTCTCCTCCGGCTTCCCGGGCTCGTCTTCGTGCCACCAGTGGACCAGATCGAAGACAGGACGGCTGAAGGTGCAGTTGATGGTGATGTAGATGGCCTGTAGACTGCTGAACAGGGTGAACATGTTCCAGACGGCCACAGAGGCCCGGTAGACAGCGACGACGCCCGAACTCCAGACGATGGTGTGTGTGATAGCCAGTTTCAGGGTGATACAGTAGCGCGCGGTGACGTCGCGTTCTTGATGCAGTTGGACACGATCTTCAGGCGCCCCGAGGCATCGTTTCGAGACGGCCATCAACAGGGCCAGCTGAACGGCTAAGAGTAGGAAGAGGAAGATGAAGAAGACCAAGAACTGACCATGACTATTGATGAGACCACAAGAGGCGATGACAAAGGTCGTGGTTGTGGCTGTGATGTTCTGTCCGGCGTCTTTCGAAAGCCCAGGGCTGGCCGGGAAACAGACGGATCCCGCGAGCATGACGACCGTAGAGAGGAGGAGGACCACGATCAGAGGTAGGGCGCATCCGGTCACCGGCCTGGCAACCGGTCCGGTCGGGTCATGGAAACAGCCGCACAGGCCGACCTCTGAGGGCGCCGGGTCAATGAGGCAGTTAGGCCGGAGGCTGGTGATTGAGGCGGTGTTGAGGTTGTGCAAATGTTTGATCAGACTGTCACGTCGACTCACACGCCAGGTGGAGACGAGATGACAGACGCTCCAGGCCGAGAGCAGATTGACGCCGAGGCCGGCGAGAAAGGCGATGCTGGCGGTGAGACTGGCGACTCGAGAGTACCAGACCTCGCGATCGGCGCTACAGGCGATCAGAGTGGCGAGATGAGCCGTCGCCGAGGCGTGCAGTCCGACGACCAAGAAAACGCCGTACATCCGTCGGATATGAGGCAGCCAGACGAGCAGAAGAAGATGGATGAGAGTGGAGAAAAGGCAAAGAGCGAAGCATACCTTGGTGATCACATACGTCTCCTGAGCCACTACCTCCGACTCGCTTGTGTTAACCAACGCTGTCAGATTGAAGCAGACCGTCTGCAACCTGACGGCCGACATGACGCCGCCTCAATAAGCGCTTAACAAGAAGGTCGAAATATACAGTCACATCGAAAGCACCGCCGCCCCTGCGTCAGGTAGGCTGCCGAGCAAAGCCGAGCAGAGCTCAGCCGATTGTGAGAATGAAAAGTGAACGACTGTTCTGTCTATTTGACCGTGAATCGGTCAGCCGGTCAACGTCCAATCAGCAAACCAGCCAATCAGCCAATCAGCCAATCAGCCAATCAGCCAATCAGCCAATCAGCCAATCAG